GCTGGTCTTGAACCCATAGGCTCAGGTAGTCTTCTTGCCTCAGCTTCTCCCAAGTGCTGGGATTACAGGCTGAGCCACCATGCCTGGCTGTACCCCACATCTTTAAAATAACAAAATTAAAAGTTAAAATGATAGGAGTTGGGGTGGAGGTGGCAAAAAAATATATAGACTGGATGGATAAAAAATATGATCCAACTATATGATATCTAGCATAAAAAAATATGATCCAGCTGGGCTTGGATCTTATTTTGGAAGGCTGAGGCAGACGGATTGCTGGAGTCCCTCAGGTTGGTGCTGGGGTGGCTGTGAGTGTGCCACTGCACTCCAGCCTGGGCAATGAAGTGAGACTTTGACTCAAAAAAAGAAAAATCCAACTATATGATGCCTAGCAGGAACTGACTTAACTTGTAAAAGTACATACAGACTGAAAGTAAAGGAATGAAAAAAGATATTTCATGCAAATGGAAACTAAAAGCAAGCCAGAGGAACTCTATTTACATCCAAATAAAACAGATTTTAAGTCTGAAACAGTAAAAAAGAGACAAAGTTGTTGACTATTTAATGATAAAGGGATCAATTTAGTGAGAGAATATAACAATTCTAAATACTTACATACACCGAACACGAGCACACCCAGATAGGTAAAGCAAATATTATTGAATCTAAAGGAAGAAATAGAGTCCATTACAACAATCACTGTGGACTTCAACACCTACTCCCAGCATTAGACAGATCATCTAGAAAGAAAAATTAACCATGATACATTCAATTTAAATTGCACTTTGGGTCAAATGGAACTACCAGACATTTATAGAACATTTTATCTAACAGCTGCAGAATGCACATTCTTCTCAGTAACCCATACAACATACTCCAGGATAGACCATAGGATAGGCCACAAAACAAATCTTAACAAATTTTAAAAACTGAAATAATATCAAATATATTTTCAATGGAATAAAACTAGAAGTCAATAACAAGAGGAACTTTGGAAACTATGCAAATAAATGGAAGTTAAACAACACATTCCTGAATGATGACTGGGCCAATAAAGAAATTAAGAAAGAAATAAAAATATTTCTTGGAACAAATGAAAATGAAGCACAACATTCTAAAATCTATAGGATACAGTGAAAACAATGCTAAGCAGGAAGTTTATAGTAATAAGTACTTACATTAAAAAAAATAGAAAGATTTCAAGTAAATAATCTAGTAATGCATTTCAGGAAATAGAAAAGCAAAAACAACCCAACTCAAAAGTATAGAAAGAAAGATATAATAAAAATTAGAACAGAAGAACACAAAACAGAGACAAAAAAATACAAAGGATCAACAAAATAAAAAAGTTGATTAATTGAAAAGATAAACAGCCGGGCTCGGTGGCTCAGCCTGTAATCCCACGCTTTGGGAGGCTGAGGTGAGTGGATTGCCTGAGCCTGCGGGTTCGAGACCCACCTGGCCAACTTGGCGAGACCTCATCTCTACAATAAATCAAAAAATTAGCCGGGTGTGGTAGCGCGCGCCTGTAGTTCCAGCTACTTGGAAGGGTGAGGTAGAAGGATCGCTGGAGCACAGCAGGTCAAGGCTGCAGTGGCCAGGAGCAGCCACTGCACTCCAGTCTGGGCGACAGAGTGAGACTCCAACTCAAAAAAAAAAAAAAGAAAAGATAAACAAAAATAATAAATGGTTAGCTAGACTAACCAAGAAGAAAAGGAAGACCTAAATAAAGAAAAACAGAAATAAAAAAGGAGACACTGCAGCTGATACCACAGAAATACAAAACATTATCAGTGACTGTTATGAACAACTACTCTAGCAAACTGGAAAACAAAGAGGAAATGAACAAATTTCTGGACACATACAACCTACCAAGACAAAATCAGGAAGAAATAGAAAACCAGAACAGAACAATAACAAATTATGTGATTGAATTAGTAATACAATGTCTCTCAACAAAGAAAAGTCTAGGAACAGATAGCTTTATTGCTGAATTCTACCAAACTTATAAAGAAGAACTAACATCAATCTCCTTAAGCTATTCAAAAAATTGAAGAGGAAGAAATTCACCCTAACTCATTCTGCAAGGTCAGCATTACTTTGATACCAAAACCAGAAAAAGGCAAAACAAAAAAGAAGGACTACAGGTCAATATTCTGGATGAACACAGACACAAAAATATACAATAACAAAATCCCAGCAAACTGAATCCAACATCTCATCAAAAAGATAATAGATCATGATCAAATGGGATTTATCCCAGGGATGCAAGATGGTTCAACATAGCAAATTTATAAATATGATATGTCACATTAACAGAATGAAGAACAAAAATCTATAATCATCTCAATAGATGAAGAAAAAAGCATTAATAGACCCCAACTTCCCTTCATGATCCCTTCATGAGTCTCTCAACATACTAGACATAAAAGGAACATACCGGTCGGATGTGGTAGCTCAAGCCTGTAATCCCAACATTTTGGGAGACCGAGGTGAGGGGATTGCCTGAGCCCACAGGTTTGAGATCAGCCTGATCAACCTGGTGAGACCTCATCTCTACAATAAAAAAATAATTAGCCAGGCACAGTAGTGCATTAGCTGGGTATGGTTGTGCATGCCTGTAGTTCCAGCTACTTGGAAGGCTGAGGCAGAAGGATCATCGGAACCCAGTGGGTCAACACTAGGGTGTCTGTGAGGATGCCACTGCACTCCAGCCTGAGTGACAGAGTGAGACTCCTACTCAAAAAAAAAAAAAAAAAAAAAGGAACACATCTCAACATAATAAAAACCATATATGACATAGTACTGGAACTCTTAGCAAGAGGAATCAGACAAGATAGTGAAATAAATAGCATCCCAAATGGAAAACAGAAGTCAAATTGTCCCTTTATGAAGATTACATGATCTCATATTTAGAAAAACCTAAAAACTTCACCAAAAACTTCTTAGGTCTGATAAACACATTCAATAAAGTTGTAGGGGGCTGGGCATGGTGGCTCACACCTATAATCCCAGTACTTGGGAGGCCGGGGTGAGAGGATTGCCTGAGCCTGCGAGTTCAAGACCAGCCTGGGCAACATTGTGAGACCTTGTCTTTACAATAAATCAAAAAATTAGCTGGGCATGGTAGCATGCGCCTGTAGTTCATGGAAGGCTGAGGCGGAAGGATTGCCTGAGCCCAGCAGGTCGAGGTTGTGGTGGCTGGGAGCATGCCACTGCACTCCAGTCTGGGTAACAGAGTGGGACTCCAACTCAAACAATAAAATAAAATGAAATAAAGTTGCAGTATACAAAATCAACATACAAAAACCAGTAGAGTTTTACACACCAATAATGAACTAGCTGAAAAAGAAACCATGAAGGCAATCTCATTTACAATAGCTACAAAAATAAAATTAAACACCTAGGAATAAATTTAACCAAGGAAGTGAAAGGCTTCTACAAGGAAAACTATAAACACTTACGAAAGAAATTGAAGAGGGTGTAAACAAATGAAAAGATATCCTATGCTCATGGATTAGAAGAATTAGTATTGTTAAAATGACCATACTACCCAAAGCAATTTACAGATTTAATGCAATTCCTATCAAGAAACCAATGTCATTTTTCAAAGAAATAGAAAGAGCAATCCTAAAATTTTATGGACCCAAAATGAGCCTGAATATGCAAAGCAGTCCTGAGCAAAAAGAACAAAGCTGGAGACATCACACTACCAGATTTCAAAATAGTGCACATCTATAGTAAACAAAACGACTTGGGATTGTAATACAAACAGACACATAATTTTTTCTTGCAACTTGAATCAGCAATTAAAAATTATCATTTTATTTTATTTTATTTTTTGAGTTGCAGTCTCACTCCATGACCCAGGCTGGAGTGCAGTGGCACGTTCATGGCCACTGCAGCCTCAACCTGTTGGGCTTTGGCAATCCTTCTGCCTCAGCTTTCCAAGTAGTAATAACTATAGTCATGTGCTACCACATTTGGCTTTTTTTTTTTTTGGTAGAGGCGAGGTCTCACCAAGTTGCCCAGGCAGGTCTTAAACCCTTGGCTCAGGCAATCCTCTTGCCTCAGCTTCCCAAACTGCTGGGATTACAGACTTGAGCCACCACACCCGACATTTTTATTTTATTATTTTATTTTATTTTGAGTCTCACTCTTGTCACCCAGGCTGGAGTGCAGCAGCAAGCTCACGGCCACCGCAGCCTCCACCTGCTGGACTCAGGCAATCCTTCCGCCTCAGCCTTCCAAGTAGCTGGAACTACAGATGCACGCCATCACATCTGGCTAGTTTTTTTGTAATTTATTGTAGAGACGAGGTCTCGTCAAGTTGCCCACGCTGGTCCTGAACCCCTGGGCTCAGGCAATCCTCTCGCCTCGGCCTCCCAAAGTGCTGGGATGACAGGCTTGAGCTACCACGCTCAGCCTGTGGTAAGCATTTAACACTGTGCACATATATCAAAACATCAGGATGTTCACAACAAACATATTCACATTTATTTGTCAATTATATCTTTAAAATCCAGAAAAAAACCTGTGGGAGGAAGGAGGCAGACGAGGCAGATGGAGCCTTGGTCTTTAGTCATTCCTCAGCCCAGCGACAGCTGAGGCTGAGGCTTTGGGGACCTCGGAGGCTCAAACTGTCCGCACAGGGGTGCCCATTGGGGCCGGATGATCAGAGCTGTACACCTAGGGGACTGCCTGGAGAAGGTCTGACCAAGTGAGGCGCTCTCTGCAGATGTGTCTCTGTGGATGCTGTATGTCAGTAATGCCCTTTAGCCCCCACAAGGGCTTATGAGTTGGGCTTGTTGCGTCCAACACAGATGGGGGGACTGACTTGCTGGGACTATTATTTGGGGAAGGGCTGAAAATGGGCCCAGTTCTGCCGGTCACACACCAATGGGACTCCTGGGCCCTGGTTGGCATCTTGCTCACAGAGAGCTGTCCCCTCAGGAACCGTCCCTGACGTCTCCTCCCCAGAGAGGTCACGGGCCTTGGGGTCCTCACTTGCGGACCTTGATCTCTGCGTACTCTGAGGCACTAGTGGCTGCCTGGTGGTGAGGCTCCTGGGGCCTCAGTCTCTGGAAGCTGAGGGAGGCGTAATGCAGCTTCTGATCCTCCCCCGAGGTGGGGGTGGCCCCAGCTGGGGGTGCGAGGTCTGGGGGGCTGCCTGGTGGGCACTCTTGCCGGTCACCCTGGATGCAGGGGACAGAAGGGGGTCACATTAGGAGAGTGGGAGCTGGGAGACAGCAAGAGGGTCCACCAGTGAACCTGGAGACGGAGCCTTGGTCTTTGGTCTAGTCATTCCATAGTCATTGGCAGGGCCCTCGTTCACTCACTGGTTCATTCATTCACTCATTCATTCCCCAAGTGTTTGAGCAATAAGACCCAGCCCTTGGTTATTGAAGGCAGCCTCATAAAATCCTCACAACAATGCACAAGGGAGACAGGACACCAGCTCTTGTCAGGGGAAACTGAGGCTAAGTAAATCTGCCCAAGCACACTTCTAAGTAGTGATCAGGCCAAGATGCACATTCATGCCACTCTGACTCCAATTCCTGCTGCCTTATGGAACAGCTACTTATGCCGGGTCCTGGATACTCAGTGGGGCCTAAGCAGACACCTTCCCTGAGTTCACGCAGCGAGAGTGGGCATGGGGAAGCAGGCATTAAAGTCCCAGTAAATTAAGTTACTCTCTAATTGCAAATTGTGATGGGCTGCCGGGAATGTGTGGTGTGAGGACAAGGATCTCCTCTGTCCTGCACTGCCCTCAGGGCCCACTCACACTCAGAGGTCCAGGCGTCCAAATGCAATCAACAAACTGAGCTGTGAACCCAAGACACAGGACACTGCAGTGAAGGAGTCACTTGTCCAAAGGCAGGCAGGACCCTGTGTTCCCAGCTCCTGGGTGGGACGCTCTAACTGAGAATATCCCGCCTGAGAGACATGTCCTCGTTCACTGGGAGCCACAGGCCAGGCCAGGTCATCTATACTAACAGCAGATTGATGGTGGGGCCTTGGCCATGTGGCATCTGTGTGACTCTGGAGGGGCCAGAGCCTGAGTCACTGAGGTCAGCTACACGGGTGCCTAGGGGCCCACCCAGTCACACCCTGGACGCCAGAGGCTGGCCATCTGTGTTGTTGTCACCTCTGTGTTGTTGTCCTCTGTGTTGTTGTCACCTGTCGGTGCTGGGAGCATGACGTGCTGTCCCTGTGTCACCATTCCTTGACCCTGCCCTGTGATCCCTTCCCGTCCCTGACCTTCATCTGTGTCCCTTCACAGTATAAACTATCCCCATGAGGTCACAGCTCCAGGGAGTTCTGTGAGTCCTTCTAGAGAATTTTTTGTGTGTGTGTTGGAGTCTCACTCTGTCATCAGGCTGGAGTGCAGTAGCACACTCACAGCCACCCCAGCCTTGACTTGCTGGGCTCAGGTGGTCTTTCCACCTCAACCTTCCCAGTAGCCGGAACTACAGGCTTGTACCATCACGCCCGGCTAATTTTTTGATTTATTGTAGAGACGAGGTCTCGCCATGTTGCCCAGGCTGGTCTCGAACCCGTGGACTCAGGCGATCCTCATGCCTCAGCCACCCAAAGTGCTGGGATTAGTGAGCCACCACCCAGCTCCTTCTAAAGAATTAATTGAAACTGAGAGTGGCCTTGGGGACCCCAATGTTGCAGCTGGTGTCAGAAGTGAGGAAGGTGCTGGGGACTTCAGAACTTTGTAGTAGACAATAATTATTTGGGGACAATCTCTCTGCATCCTGTGTTGAGGAGGAGAGATAGGAAGGAACGGGAGGGAGTTGGGCGTCCAGAATGAAATGGAAGTGGGAGGGTCCATTGGAACTGAGCCCAGCAGGTGATCCTCAGGCCCCGGTGGCCTTTGGCTCTGGGACAGGACATGGGGAGCAGTGGGGAGGGAGCTCCCGGGTCATGGGACTGGGGGCCGTTGATGGGGACCCAGAGCAAAAGCCTGTTTGGGGTACGATTATTCTTTGTTATCAAGAGGAAGGTGACCATGGCCCTTCTGGGGAGAGGACCAGATGGGACCCTGATGAACAGAGGGCTGATCACTCACCCAGGAGATGGGACCCAAGGCGGCCAAGGCGTCCCGCTCAGCTGCCCTCCTGACGGCTTTTCTCCTGCAGGTCCTCACCCTGAGGGAGGAGCCAGGACCTCTCAGCCTCCAGGGGCTCCAGCCTGGAGGGACTGCCACTCAGCTTAGAGGAGACCAGAAGGCTACCGAGGCCTGAGAGAGCGGACATGTCACCGGGAGACCTCCCCAATGAGAACGGGGGCCCTTCTCATGGCTGGACCAGGGTTGGGCACAGACCTCTGCTCTGATGCACCGTCCAAGGCCATTTCTCAAAGCACGGCCCTGCCCAGACTCCTCCAGCCCTGGGGGTCTAGGACCCCGCCATAATCTGCACCAAACTCCCTCAGGGCAACGCCCACCTGAGGAAGATGAGGCAGGAACAGAGACTGAATAGAGCAGCAGCAACGGCTCCAGCGACGGCCCCCAGAAGGAACCATCCCCCAGGCACTGGCCTCCCTGCAGACCAGGGGGGCTTGTGGTGATGCCCCTCCCGACCCTGGGACCCTCGAGCCCCTCCTCTCCTGGCACTAGAGCTCTCGGGTTCTCCCTCCCCCACCAGCCACGAAGCAGGGACCTCCCGCAACTCCTGCCCCCGAGGCCCAGCTCCGCCCCACAGGCCCAAGCCCCACCTTCCTGGGGCCCCTCCCCCTCTTTCCCCGCGCTTCTGTCCCCACCCCCCAGACCTGGCAGCTGCAGGACGGAGCCGCTCTGGGCCCCGTGGACGTTCCGGGTCTCGCAGCTGAGCCCGAGGCTGGAGTCCAGCCCCCCGTGGAGGCTCAGGGAGCTGTTGGTCCAGGACCCCGCTGAGCTGGGCGTGGCCATGAAGACGCCCTGGCTGCCGTTCGCTTCCAGAAGCTCCTCGCCAAGCCGCCAGCGCAGGGAGGGGGACGGCTGGCCCCGGGAAGAGCAGCTGCAGCGCAGACCCTCAGCCTCCCAGGAGCAGGAGGGTCCCAAAAGTCGTGCGGGGTCTGCGGGAAGGAGGAGAAGGCTCAGCGGGTGCCCCCTGCCCGGGCCTGGGTGCCCCGCCCCCACTCACAGTGCACAGAGAGGCTCAGAGAGACGTGCTGGGAGCCCAGCCGGTTCTGAGCGCGGCAGGTGAATTCTCCTTCGTGCTCCATCTGCACACGAGGCAGCTCCAGGACCCCCGGGTCTGAGGGCTGGGAGGGGCTCAGGGTCTGTCTGCCCCGGGCCCAGCTCAGCCTGGCTGGGGGGTTGCCGTGGGCGACACAGACCAGGCGCAGACTCTGGCCTTCCAAGACTGGGAGGGATGTGCCGTTCCTGAGGGTTTCCAGGACTGGAGAAGGGAAGAGCGGAAGTGATGGGCGACCTAGGGCTCTGGCTCCCTCCTGCCTGGGGACACCCCAGACACCAGGACCCCAGTTTGGCTCCCAGAGGCCCTGGTTCCTGTGTCTCCCTCTCTCACCTGTCCTGTTGGCCTGGGAAACCGTCA